GTGTGTGTGTGTGTGTGTGTGTGTGTGTGTGTGTGTGTGTGTGTGTGTGTGTGTAAAATACCATTCACCTGTACACTTCTGTGTATATTCTACCCATAAGCATAAATAAGAAAGTGCGATGGGGTAATAGGGTGATATAATGCTCCTTCCTTGATTAATGAATAATGAAGCGTAGCCCTAGTAAATGCTAAGGTACCAATAAATACTTTATGCTCCGTCAATACCTGCACATAGTCACTAGTTCTTGTTACTTTCCATAATGCATGCAAAAGGAGTACATGTTTTTTTAAGATGAGTCCCTAGTGTTCCTATTTGTTAAATATTCGGTACCTCCCCTTGCTTTTTAAAGTTATGGCAAATTCTGGATTGCTTGAAATCCAGGAAACTGTCTTTGAATTTTCTTCATGTCACTTACACACTCTTTTTATATACACATAGTCTCCTCACATCTACACACACGCTTAGACACACAGGTAGTAGACTTTTGCATGCAAAAATCACACACTTGCATACTGTGTGCACAGCACCCCACTGATTTATTCTATTAGCTTCTGTGTGCTAATAACGCAGTTGTAGTGTGGTGATCAGCTTGTGCCGGTTAATTTCACACTCACAAATCAAATCAATCCCCCATGTGCTCAGGCAGCCCCTGCCTAGACAATGGTTTCCTGCATATTAATTAAGTTCACACAAGCAGTGATTATGATTACATATGCACAGTTCTCATATGCACAGCCAGCCCCAGCACAGGCAATCTGCTTCTGCATGTTGGCAGTTCACTACCCCCCTTAATTCCCCCTCTTCTCTGGGCTATATGTGGCATTTAGAAGCTCTGACAATCTGCTCCAAATGTTTTCCATATTTGTTCAGCCTCCTTGATTCAAATACCAGGAACAACTCAGCCAGCACAAAGCGAAGCTTCAGGGGCACACAAAAAAAAAAAAAAAAAAAAAAAATCCCCACCTCAACACGCCCATCAGCCAGAAAAAAAAAAGTTCATCAACATGAGAAAAGAGGAGAAGAAACCTCAGAACAACACGTCCCTTAAAAACCAGAACCAGGCAGGGAAGGCACCTGAAGGGGAGAAAAGCACCGATCCAGCCAAGCAGCAGGAGCCAGCAATGAAGAAGAAAGCCAAGGGGGATCCCAAAACGGGCCAGGAGGAGGAATCCCACACTTGTTGTGGCTGCCGTTTCCCGCTGCTGGTTGCTTTGTTGCAGCTGGTGTTAGGCATCTCTATAACAGTGCTGGGCTTCATTATGGCAGGCATCAGCTCTTCTTTACTAGTCAGAGACACTCCATATTGGGCTGGGATAATTGTAAGCATAAAGTCTGTTTCTACATAAAGTGCATTTGCCAACATTAATGCAATCTGCATGATGCTACACTTAAGACTAACCAACTGCATGTCCTACACCATATATGAGCTAAACTAACTATAAATATTCCTGCAATTATATGTCTAATTTACTTTCCCAAGGAAACTGCTGTTGCAGTATAATATAATCCTTCATATTCTTCCCCAAAACACCCCAAAACCTTGAATAAAATACAGGGTTGTTGTGCACCAGATGTATATTATGCTACCTATTAACCTGTTTGCTATGAAATGATGGTTAGTAATGCTGAAAAAAATGTTTACTATTTATGTTGATATCCCCCCCCAAAAAACCAGTCAGGTTTAAGGGGGTGAAAGTATAATTATAAACCTCTAATTCAATGTATTTATAATAGTGTCAGAAAAGAACTGGCTGTTCTTTTAGCTTCCACACTGTGATGAGTTAAAAAAAGACTGTAACTTAACCCCTTTCGTTCCCCCCACCGCCACATCCCAAATTCTTTTCCATAAAACACACCACATGTGGCTCTTGGGACTAAAGGGTTACTATGAAATGCAAACCAAGTAAGTCTGTAAAGTCTGAAGGGTGTGACACAAGCCAGCTAAAGCGAGGAAATTCAAAGTTCCGAGTGACAGGCTAGCCTTGTCTAATGCAGTTCTGGCACAAAAAACACAGTGGCAGGAGTAAAGGGTGGGGTTCCTGATAAGTCTATTATGATCATGCACATACACGCAATCAGCTTAGAAATATAGTCCAAATCCTGAGCACAGGATGCTCCTGTAGATGTCACTAGGAGCTGGGGGCACTCAGCAGCTGTCAGGATTTGGCCTTGTTTTATTTAATAATTTTTAGAGAGACAGTACATGTGGCTATGGTAACATTCCTGTGTTGGGGTGTGTATTATATATGTTTTGCTATGCCTATTATTTCCCCCCCAAAGGACCATATTTCAAGTAGATGTATTCTTATGTGTTTGTACTAATTCTGAGCATTATTAAACCAATAGACCATAAAATCTTCCACCAAGTAAATACATATTTAGGCACTTTAACAAAGAAAAGATTCTTGGTGCAGTAGACCAGTGTATCGTGTACCACATAAACATAAATCCTTATGATTTGAGGCTTATTTGACCTGAATTGTTATGGTTTATTGTATTAATCCAGCTGCTGCATAGAACAATTACATCTTTGTGTTAGAGATAATTTGATAAGGATTGCTGAGACCTAAAAGTCAAAGGCCCAATCCTGAAAAAGTTGGAATGATCAGCACCTGAGTTTCTAAACAGATAATGGGTCGTTTTAATTAGCCCTTTCCCCTTTCTTTCTCTTCTTCCAAAATATAGATCTAAAAGTTCAGTTATGTCTTGCAGGGTGCAATACTACCCTCACTGACAGAAGAGAAATTTCCAATAGGACTTGCTCCATTACAAGGGGAGGGTGGAAGGGGAACAACAAACTAGGGCATGCAACATTTCCACTTAATTTTTTTAAGTTAACATGTCCTAAAGTTTCTGCAAACACTGATGGTCAAATTCTCTTCTCAGATCCACACTATGGATCTCCCAAATTTTGAATAACCTCTTCATTAGAAGGACAGATAAACATCCACAAAGATTCAGGGCTTGATCTCCAGCTGGAGTAAACTGGCAATGCTCCATCGAAGTCAGTGAGGGCATGCAAGTTTACAGCTGCTGAGCATGCTCCTTGATTTTCCTGTATGCAGCCAACATTTAAAAAAAAACAAAAAACGTGTAGACCCAAGAATCAGCACATAAAGCTGTGCTACCCTTCCAGAGGGAGTCCCCAGCCAGGCCAATGGTCACTGAGGTTTTGTGACCAACCCGTAACTCAGGTAATATTTGCCACGATTTATTAACTGTTTGCAGGAATTTGGACTGACATTTGGATGGGTGTGGGCTGGGTATAAATAATGCAAAGCTCAGTTGTTTTGCATGGCTTCAACCTGAAGCCAGGCAAAAATTGGTACGTTTACACTTTGAGTTAACCTAAAATTTCAAAGCAAAACTCAAGTCTGAACTAAAACTGTTGGGTTTTGCACACATCAACCTGTATGACCTTGTGATGGCAGAGCTCCCACAGACCCTAGGAACACAAGATTTTGGCTACATAATTCTTAGGATCTCTTTGCTTTGAGCTTTACAATAATTTAACCTTTCCAGCTACATTGAAGACCTAAAGATACTAAAGTAATGGGTGCCAATTTAAGAATCTAGCTCGAGTAATAAATAATAATGTGTTGGCTAGACTTGCATCTCTCAATCTGTGGGTTGTTCCACCATGTTGGGTTACCAGCAGGTTTTGGTGTAGGCACATTTCTTACCAGCACAATTACATGTGCCACTGATTGGGTTTCTGCTCACACTGCCTGGGCTTGGAGTTGAATGGTGTGGTGACCATGAGAATGTTCTTTCTGATACATGTGTTTCAGGGAGAGTGAGAAGTGGAGAGACAAGTGTCTGAGAGCTACTGAGAAAACACACACACCAAATGTGGGGGAGGAAAGATACACATGTTTTCCATTCCCAGCAGCCAGGCTCAGGTGAAGTGGGGTGGGGAATGGCACTGGAAGAGAGAGGTGAGATTGAGAAGTTGGATCTGTAACTCTCAGCAGCCAGGAAAGATGATGTTTAAGTGGAGTTCAAGTGATGTCAGGAGTGGTGTGGGAGCTGATGCAAAGGATTTCAAGATATTGGTTCATGAGAGTTTAAAAAATAAAGAGGTAGCTGAGAAGTTGTGCCATTATTTGTTTATATATGGTTGCACTGTGACGGATATGCATGCTGCTTGTTGGGACACTGGCTGGGAAAGGTTGAGAACCCGTGAGCCAGAGCGAAGTTTGTCAGTGTAGCTCCCAGGGCCTTTGCCAGTGGTCTGTAGGACAGAATATCCTGAGAACTATGCACTGGAGCATTTGGAGATCCATTGTGTTAGAACACCCTGCGTGCAGATATCCTGCTCACAGTCTTTTTGGCTGGTATTAGGCCAGTGTAGAGATTGGAGATCACGCATATGGGCATGGGATGGAGTGTGTCTCGCTCATAAAACAAATATGCTCCTATTCTGTAGCAGAAAGTGCATCTTTCTGGAACTCCTTTATTAACGCAGAAATGAGCAACATTGCCTTTCTTGGCAGCGCAGCAGAACGGAAAGTGGTGGTGTAAAATATCAATGTGTGCTTGTTTTAGTAACATCCCACTCAAGTGCTCTTTTCAAAGGATTTGATTAGTGTTCAGATTCACCAACTGTTTAAGAACTGTAAAATATATTATCAAGACCTTTTTAATGAAGTTAAAGACAGTGGGCTAAATTCACCCCCAGTGTAACTCCATCAGAATTACACCCGGAATGAATGTAACCCCCTAGCTGTTGTTGAAGTATGACAGAAAAATGAAGGAAAACTCCTAATGTGTTAAATAGATCCTGACTGATTTTTTGCTTTATTAGTGGCAAAAGTATTTTCAGTTATGAACAGTGTGACAAAGTGCTTTAGTCCATTAGCATGAATAAAAGGGAACTTGTCTAGTGAAGCAACTAGAGCAAAATGTTCCCAGTGAAAACCAAACCAGGCAAAACTAGTGTGGATTCAGGTTTCATTACAAATTCAAAACTTGGCCTTGGTTTGTTGTGATAAGTCTCCAGAAATCTGTTGAATAAACTTGGGCTGTTTTTTGGTTCTGCGGCTACTGTGACACTCCCCCCACCCCCCCATAGGCAATCAGTGTGGACGGAATCTGGGACCCATAGCACCGAAAGCACAGGCTTCTACTGCTGAGCAAAACAAGTAACACTATGGATTAGTAGCAGTAGTAGGCTCTTACCTTCTGTGTGGACTAGCTGCTAGAGAGGGAAGTGATGCACTTAGCTGCATCAAACTAAAACTATTTCAACATGAAACCAGGTGAAACTTAACAGTTTCAGCTGAGTTTCATTTGAAATACAATGGATGCTATTTAGAAACCAAAGGAAATGTTCATGGGCAGAAACCACTGAGCTTAATGTAGTTCTAGGCACTATTGGGCTCTGTGCCCAGAGAGCAAAAGCAGAGTTACCAGTCTCAATGACCTATTCCCTTTAAAACCAGAATGTACCTGTTGTATCACTAGAGCCAGGTAAATCAATTCAGATAAAACAGGAGGTGACTGAAACCTCTGTTCAGAGCTTGGCTCTAACTCAAGCTGAACTCCTTTTTATGCAATTTTGAAAATATTCAGATAAACGTTCTGCCATTGGAATCAGGGCTCTTGAAGAGAAATGGCACTGAGCCAGGAGTGCTGAATCCTTTGCTAGGTTCTGCCCTGATGTGCTATATTACTTTAGGCAAGTCACTTAGGCCCAGATCCTCAAATGTATATAGGCCTCTAACTCCTATTGAAATCAATGTGAATTAGGCATCTAAATACCTCTGAGGCTCTCGGCCTTAACTTCTCTGTTCTCTCCACTATAAAATGGGAATTATAATTCTCCATCCATCTTTTTGCTTTGATGAAAAAGCACTATAGAAGCACTATGTATTCTTGTTGTTGTTAATTTTCATTTCCTTGTGGCCTCTCCACACCCAGATCCCAGTCAGTACTAGAAGCACAAATAGTGAATTTCTTCATGAAAGTCTATTCTCACAGTATTTCCGCCATAACCAGAAGTAGGAAGTATCAGAAATTTCACAAGCAAGCCTGTTCCCCTGAGATGTTCAATCCAGTTAAGATATTTCTCCAAACCTCATTGGAACTATCTGGAGTCAGGGATGCTTATCAGAGCTGTCCAACAGTTTTTGAGGTGTCCCCATTTTAATTCTCTTTTTAAAAAGCCTATTTTTTAATTATTTGGGTTTTTTAGGACACTTGAAAATCCCAGATACCTAACTACTTCCAAGACTACAGTTCTAGATGAATCTGTTTATACACTTTTATCGTGTATTATGGTTCAATATTAAGATCTACTTTACAGTGGTCCATAAAA